GGTAATTCACCTTACTAAGCTGTAATTTCCTCACTTGTAAAGTGAGGATAAAACCACCTGTCTTGTGGGGTTGGTATTAGGATTTAATGAAATAATGCATATGAAGTGTACAGCATATAGCGCAAGGTAGTTGTTGATGTGTCCCATTTCTATTCTATTCATCTTCTTTCAGCTACTAGGTTTTTAAAGAAAAAATGCAATATTTCAAACGTACAAAGAACAGAGATAAAATAAACTATACTCACAAACCTACCATTCAGTTTAAGAATCAAATTATAGTTGCAACTGGAATCCTGTGTGTATGCTCTCCAATATTTTCTGTTCTTCCCTCCCTCATCAGGGGGAGCCACAGTCCTGAATTTGCTTTTATCATTTCCAGGAATGTTTTCATACTTTACTATCTATCTTCAATAAAGAAATAATAGTTCAGGGACATTTTTCCTGTGATGGGTACATATACATCCTATAAGGGCAAATTTCTAAATACCAATAAAATGAGACCCCCCCCCCTCATATTAGCGTCCCATTTTCACAAGCATCCTCTTTTTCTTTTACTTTGAGAACAACAATTCTGGATAAATACCAGAAAGAAATAGTATACCTCAAACAGCAGACATTTGTAGTATTTAGAGAACATTCTGTGGTAACTGTGTGCTAAAATGTTACTGCCTGAATTTACCCATCTTACGAATTTAGTTTTATAAATAACAGTAGAGATTCCTTTTAACTTTATGATTTTTAAAAGTTTGTTGCATACTTAATTTAAAGATTCTCAAATTTAGGGGGAATTGTTGTTCCCTGTTTGGTTGATTTTGATTCGCGATTTTTTTTTTTTACTTTTATAATATCCCTTGAAGTGATAGAAGACTCACTGGAGTCCCATAGAACTGAAGTTTTATCTTACTGGTTTATTTATATGTTAGGATGAAAAAAATCAATTAAAATACTTGGGGTTTTCCTCAGATGTGCTTCTAATATAATATCAGCTATTTTACATGCATCTTTAATTTATGCTGAGATACTAGAGGCAAAGCATAGTTGAACGAAATTCATAGAAAATTCAGATTAAAACCCTGTGCTAAATGAAGGTTTCAGCTGAAATAAGGACATTGGTGGATTTCTGTTTTTTTCCCTGCCGAAGAGGTAGATGCCTAGAAGCAATAAAATCACTGAGCTTGAGCAGGCCAGTCAGATGAACTTCTTCCTGTTGGCCTACAGGTGGCAATATCATACCAGAAATGCGTGTGACAATTGGCAATGAGAAGGCATGCAGTCTTAAAATTGTGTGCATGTTGGTTGGTACCTTGTTAAAAATGCAGTAATGTATTATCTGAATTGAGATATATAAGCAGACCCCAGCCTTGGTGTGTCCCCAGATTTACATATATTTAAATGGCTGCCTCAGTCTTTTGTTATACTCTGCGTGAGGTCTTTTGGGATTTCCCCTATCGGTCCCCTTACAGTTTGCTATTGTAGCTTGTGTTTCTCCCTTACAAAAAAACCCCACTTGTCTCCCATGCTTCATTGTGGCATCCATCCTTTTCATGAGAGAGAAGTACTCGGAGTTAAAAGAGAGGTGAAGAGAGTTAGTGCTAAGACAGTCCTGGGCCTTATTTCTGTCTCTATTGCAGCAGCTACAGCACCACTGTGTACTTTTCCCCTTGTTAGTTGTATTCACTCTCTGTTTAGCACTGTTCTCAGCAATGAAGACTTTGGGAAGAACCCAAAGAGTTGTGTACTTGCTTTGAGGACAAGGAACACAGGAAAAATTCTGAGACTAGATTCTGTTCTGTTTCTATCTTTGAGAACCCAGGAAAGGGAGTGAGACTGAACACAAACAAAAAGTGGTGGGGATAAAAAAGGAACAGACAGCCTAGTCTCTGGGACTGGGTACATGAAAAAAGAATAATAGAGATCTATCCAACCTAGTTGAGCAGCATACATGGAATTTTCCACAGGCCAAAGGCCCTAGCTCCTCATGCCTCACTTCCCCATTCCAGACCACAGTGATTCCCATGAAAGACTGGCAGGAAGGGAGTAGGGTGGGGAGGAGAAATAGCTGATCCTTTTGTAGCCATTCTAGGTAGAGCTATCATCATTCAAAATAGAAGTCTATGCAAAGATTCTACATAGAATCTTTGAATACAAAGAAACAGAGTTATATGAGATGGTTAAGCTCTGTAGTGATATTATAATGTAAGGCAGTTTCCTGGAGCTTTCCAGCCCAAACCAGAACATACCAGAGCCCCATCCACCATGAATTCTATGAGATAAATGTTGAGTTTCAAACATCATTTATACATTGAGAAATGCTTCTGTTGTATCACATCACATATAGAGCATGTTAAGTTTGAAAAGCAAGTCAAGTGAGTGGCATTTCAAGCAGGCTGTATATAATTAACAACTGCATTTTAAAGACAGATTTTTATTTGATATAATGATCTATATTTGCATATTGTATTTGTGTATTGCAATATTAATTTGTGTATTAAATTTATTTGACTAAGTAAAATGTATCTTTTTGGATCTATTTATCATTAATGGGTAGTGGCTTTATAACACAATTTTGTTCTTTTGTTGCACTAGTAAAATGTTCTTTTTTCCCCCAATAACCAGTGACCTCATATTATATTGAAAATTTATAAAAAATTAAAATATTTAACAAGCTTAGAAGTTAGAATACTGCATGGAAAGTATTAACAGCATACCCATTAGCACTTGCTTTTAATTGTTGTAACCCTTGTATCAATTAGAGTAGAATATTCAGGATGCAAGCAGTTATTTAGTCATGGAAAGAAAAAAATTAAGACTTGTTTACCAAACCGAAAAGAAATTAAGGTGATTTTCTCTAAATTACATTTCTATTCAAATGCACTCTTCAAATTCAAGTTATTTTCCTAATTATATTTTCTATGCGATGAATTTTTAAACTTCTTTGTGCACTTTATGCTCTTGGTTGGAAATTAAACATAAATTGAATATCCATTAAGCTGGAAATCCTTAATGGTAGCTTTTAAAGTTGTTTTAGCAAGGTATTTGCCTTGGAGTAATAATAATAGTAAGAAAAATTCATCTACTCACTACTTTAAAGTTTATAAAATGCTTTCCTATTTAGAGGCAGTATGGTGTCATGGAAAGACCTGAGGCTTTGACTTCATATTTGGGTATGGACCCCACCCAACGTAGCCATGCGCTTGCGGTTACTCACCTTTCCTGAGTCTTAAGTTTCTCATCTGTAAAATGTGGATAACACCTGTGTTGAAATGTGACTATTAAACAAGAACAAATGCATGCAAAGATCTTAGCATGAAACAGTAGCCTTACAAACTTCAAGTGTTTAATCTTGACAATTTTAGTAGGAAGTAGGCATCATCTCTATTTTGCAGATGAGTCAGCTGAGGCTGGGTCACAGATCCAGAGTCAACAAATCTGTTTTATGGCTCCAAGTCCAGGGCACTTCTCTCCATTCAGCTGCTTCTGGAGCAAGACTGCAAAAACTGCTAAAATACATTGGTTATTAGATGCGACCACTCAGATGCAATCTAGCTTCCTTTAAGGAAGCGATTCCCAACCCTTTTCCCCTCTGACATACACGTGATACTCAAAGCTGCTGGTATGTTAACTGAACCGCCATCCTTTTCTCTCCTGCTCACAAAACCCAAGGAGGGAGAGTGTCTATTATTAGGGATAACATGCAATCCACCTCCTCCCTTAGTATTTAATGCTAATAGCAAGTTGCTTTGTACACATTTCACGACTTAATGCAATGCACCACAGTTGAGAACCATTGTATAAGATGTGCTCTAGGGAGAATAAGTATGTTACTTTGTGGTTGAGGGTTTCTGTTAGAGAGTGATGAGAAAGATTGTTGGGGGCCAGGAGGAGTCTAAAAAGTTAAGACTTGATCTCATAGGCAATCAGAGGTTCATGAGTAAGAAAGCAATGGGATTAAAGTGGTGGTCTGCAGGATGGTTGAGAGGTGAAAAAGCCTGGAAGCCAAGAGACCAGTTGGATTGTTGAAGTGAACCAGATAAGATGAGAAGGCCCGAACTAAGGCAGTGGCAGTGGGGATGAAAATGAATAAACAGATGCAAGACTTGTGACTGACTGGGTGTGCGTGGGCAAGCAAGGTGGTAAAGGGGTCCAGTGATAAGCAGAAGTTCCAAAATATGCTGCCAGTTAGGCAGTAAGTGTCTGTCTTTAATTATATTTTGTGTCAATGTATATTAAAATGGTCTTGTGCAGCCTCAGGACTCAATATCCTGTTGGTGGAAAAGAGACAATCCACAGGGTGTTAAAGGGCAGAGAAAGCACAAGCTTAGAATTGGACAGTTACAGGACATAGTTAATAAACTGTTGATATAATCTTTTTTATTTTCAACCAAGTGTTCGGGTAGCTTGCTATACTGGTTTCAGACCCTACGCTGAGTGACTTTGTAATTAGTCACACAAACATGCTGCTATCTGAATTTAGGACTAGATTCTGGAACATTATAAGTGGGTGCCCCGGTGATAGGGAGGACTTGGTGAGTTGTTACCCTTGGCATCTGAGCAGCCAATAACTAGAATGGTTGAAGTGACTAAGAAAATATTTTTTTAAACCTGACATTGAGGTCATCTGATAGACTGTATGCCCTAGGCCCATGGGCGCAGGCTCCTAAAGGGCTGGGATATTTGTTTTGTTCACTGCTGTATCCCCAGCAGAGAATGGAGCCTGTCACTTAGTCGATACGGTAATTGTTGGATGAGTAGATGAAGCCAGGATCATGAGCGTCTGGCTCACTCCTATAGCCCCAGTACTGTGCGCATTGCTGACTGCATAAGAGGAACTGAATAAAAGGTTATTGAATTGAGTTAAAATGAGTTGGACAGCATTTGAACGACTGAAACCAAATTTTATTTGGTTTTATGTTGTGTGAAATAGAGTAACATAATGTTCAGTTGAAATGCTTTACATGGGGTATTAAGCAGTAACAGAGCTGTATTTGTTCTTTTGCTAGTGATGATCTGGAGCAATTTATGGAAAATCAAGGTGCATCCAGCCCAGGTATCCTCATTTTAACAACGAGCCTCAGCAAACCATTCATGCGGCTGGAGAAGTATGTTACTCTCCTGCAAGAGTTGGAAAGGCATATGGAGGTAAGGGAAGGCAAGCTTTCTGAAGCTCCTGTACAAAGTTTGGGTCCCTCCTCTGGAGGCAGCTGCCAGTCTGCCACCAAACTAACCTTGCTGAGGAATTCAGGAAAAGCCTTCGTTTCCAAATTTACTTGATCCAATCTTCCCTCTTCTCAGGCTTTTAGTTTTCCTCTTTATGCAGCAAAATAAGAAGGGGATATTCTTTTCTCTCCTCTGAAGGTTTCCTACTTTTTATGTGATTTTATTTTTTCCCAGCTTTATTGAAGTATGATTGACAAAGAATATATACAAATGAAATGTATACACAAATAATATATACAAATAAAAACTGTATATATTCAGGTTATACAACATGATTTTTTTAAGGTATATAATTTAAGGTATATAATGATGTAATATGTGTATACATTGTGAAATGATTACCACAATCAAGTTAATGCACGCATCTATCACCTCACATGGTTCTTAGGATCTTAGTGTTAGCAAAAGTATACAATACAATGTTATAAACTATAATCACCGTGAACTTATTCATCTTATAACAGAAAGCTCCCTATCCTTTACTATTAAATATTCATGATCATTGCTCCTCCTCCACCTCTTTTCCTCCCATCCTCGGTCCTGTTGCTTCTGTCAAGTCTCTGCGAACTTGATGACTTAGATTTTCTGCTGCCCTCTCATCTGTAGATGGTGGTAAAGGGGTCAAATGGTAAGCAGAAGTGATCATTTGACCAAGAAACCTTCTGTTCTGGTATATGAACCAACTTTATTGTAGGAGATAAACAAAGCAAAGCAACATTAGAAAATACAAAGACCGCTTTCACTATAAACAGGAATGTTTATCTCTAGAGCGCTGCGGTCATTCAGCTTTCTGATTCTGGTTTACAATGGAAGGTTCTGGTATTTCCTTAAAGATAAATAAATAGGTCTAATATTAGCTTATCTCTCTATGCATCTGCACGTCTACATCAAAGTTCCCTCACATTTTTGTTTATAAACTTACAGTTAGCTTGCAACAGCTGTAGCATAGCTATAATCTTTTCTAAATATTAAGATTTCAACGAGGCCTGATAATTGAATATCTTTTCATCAAGAGCCCACAGCCTCTTATTAAAAACCAATCAACAGGGACAGCTTCTTAAGCCATTCTTACGCGATCGAACATGGGGTTTGAGGTGTGGGTGGGAGAGGAGGGCCCGCTGGGGGAGGCTACATTTACCCTACTTGCTCTTCCTGTGTCTGGGGAAAGGTTTTGAGGTTTTAAAGGGTTTGATTATCTTTAAAGAGAAAGGTTGCACACTGCCAGTCTTGTCAGCATTTGTAAGGATTGAAAGCATATACTCCGAGTGAAACCACATTCTCAGGTTGTTTAACCCGCCTGAAAGCTGGAGGCAGTGGGGAGCTAGTGAGTAAAGCCTGCCCGAATAAAATTTCAGTTAGGGCTCAGGAAGGCGTTGACCTCTGGATGCCTTTCCAAAAGCTACACCAATTCACTGAACCGTTTGAGGTTTGCCCCTCCTTGTTTATCACAAAAATCCAGAAACTAGTGGCCTCAGTTTCTGTTACTGCTCAGTGCTGAACTACGAATATACGCATAATTTGGTGAGAAAAATCCCCAGATGCTCTTACAGTCCAGATCCTCTGTCTTGGCCTTCCTTGTATCAGAGGCCATTTCTACTCCTGCCTCCATTTGCTGTTGGTCGCCTGCCTTTGGCTGCCTTCCACTTCCCACCGTCAGATCATGCATACCCTTAGCACTAGTTCTCTATCTGCTGAGACACTGAACCCAGCTTTCTGAGTGTTTAGCATGGCTGCTGGCTAATGGTAGTTTAGAACCTGAATTTCACAGTTATCAGCTGATGTGGGTAAGGATAAGTTTAACTATAAAATAATACAACCCTTCTTTTCATAAGCAATGCTGTTCTTGGGTTGGGTCAGATCCCTAGTCTGTTCAGTTCTATTTTATCACCCAAGGCTGGCCAAGCAGCACATTTTGTCTTCCCATTACTCCAGCTGAATTCCAAAGGTTAGGTATACATATACCCCTTTAAGGTTAGGTACATATCTATGCCCCATATACTCCAATGTTAGGTGTGCATCTACCGCCAAGAAACTTTCCTTTCATAAACAGTAATGGGGATGTGCCTTCCTCAAAGCCATTTTGAACCTCTCTACTTCTCAGGGTCGTAAGTACCATGGAATTGCAGATCGTATGTAATAACCTTGCTTAAGAAGGAGGAGCATATGGTATAAAACTTGGAATTTTTCCCCATCTGCCATGTTGAGTCTGCTGAAAGAAAATGGAGGCATTTTAGGAAATGAGACTGGATTGACTTTTCTCTAACCGTAATTCCCTATCTCTTGTCATTTACTAAAAACATTACTAATTATGCCCCCCAAATAGTTATTATTTATTATCTAAAGTGTAATAGCAAAAAAGGAAACGGGAACTTTTGCCTCAATAACCACACCTAGTATGTTGTTACCAAATTTATGATGTGTTACCAGTGGTCTTAATTTCTTAATCACCTAATAACTGGAGGTGCTGAGATTCCAGATACTCAAATGCTGTATTATTTTTTAAATCTTTGAAATAGCGTATAGTAAAATTGACTTTTTTCTTTTGGTGTACTGTTCTATGATTTTTAACACATGTAAAAATTCATGTTAGCACCACCACAATTGAGATACAGAACAGTTCCGTCATCCCTCAAAATTTCCTCTTTCTCTTTGCAGCCACATCCTCCTTTCAGCCCTAACCCCTGGCAATCACTGATCTGTTCTTTAATACTGTTTTAAAATGTATTCCTTTAACAGGATACGCATCCAGATCATCAGGATATTCTGAAAGCAATTGTAGCATTCAAAACTCTCATGGTAGGTGATGCTCTAAAATTACAATTCTCCATTTTGTATGCTTTGTTCCTAAAAGAGTGATTTGTGTGTAACGTTTCTTTCCTTACGCAAAGGTCTTTACAGTGGAAACAATAAGCTCTGGTGACAGTATCGCAGTGATTGTTTCATTTAATTTTGTCTTCCAAAAATCATGCATACCTATGAAAGGTTGCCAGGCTGAGGGTATAAAGCACTCACATTTGAAGTTGCTGCCACATTAAGCATTGTTGTGTAGGTGGGGGGTTTCCTTTAGTCTCTTTGTCTTTACCCCCATGTGGCTCACCTTATGTCGGTGCAATTTATCCTTCGCTGATTGGCATCAATACTGGATTCATCTACTTATGCAAAAAGGTGTGAGTTTATCATTTGCATACGAAAAAGAAATCCTTCATCATATCTAAAAGTAAAAAAAACCTACTAAAATACAATTGCTTTATATAGATTGCTATCAAAGGTACCTGTAATCTTATATCTTGAGCATGAGGGTTGATGTCTCCTTGAACCAACGGTGGTAAAACCACTTGGTGGCATTTTAGGAGGAAAGAAAATGTTATTTTGGGTGATTGATTAAGTTTAGCTTCAATTGAGACACTTCTGTAGCATTCCAACTGATTGGGATCAATGTTTAGTTATTGATTCTTGCTGTAAGGGTGTGATGCAACATTCACTATCACCTCATTTTTAGTGCTGTTGCAAGATCAGGACCTGATGTGTCCACGGTTGAACAGCAAACTGAATATCAGAGTAAGGATTATGTTAAAATTGCTGTTGGAGGTCAAAAACAGTTGAATATTGGCAGTTTTATGTGGTTCACCTCATGCATCCCATGGCATTTATTATCATTCATGTCCCTTTTATTTTTTTAGTGTATATTGAATATAAAAGGCCTTTTTTAAACCACATTTCTTTCTGATCATTTTGCATGTTGTAAAACTTGCTTTGATGGTTATAGAATATTTATTCCCACTATAGATGCTTCAAAAATATGTGCACAATGAATTTATTTTTTCAAGTTTTCATTTAGCTGAAATGGACAGCAGAGATTTTATAGAAACCATATCCCCCAAAACTATGATGTTCATTTGGAGACAATGACATAAATAAGCAAATCTTTACTTTTAATATTCAATTTGGAATGAATACTGTTAAATTACTCAAAGATAACCTCACGTTTTCTGAAGCAGTGACGTGTGTGTGTGTGTGTGTGTGTATAGTATTCATACCCCACTTATTGTTTCTTGGTTTGTGTTTTCAGTTTGTATTCATGAAATTCAGTTGCATCTTTTTTTTACAATCCTTTTAGGGATAAAATTAATTTAGTATTTTTAATAGAATTTACTACTGGTCCCTAACCAAAGTATAGGGCAGTGCATATGTATCATTATAAGATCAATTTGATTTACAGTGGCATGCGGAATTTAATTTTCTCTTTTTCTATAACTCCTGGAGTCAGTTTTTGTTTTTTTTATTAAGATGTTACTTGATTGGAAACTGAGCCTATGTTAGAAGAATAAAATTGCTTTGTAACTAAAGCACCATTTGTGCAGATAGACAAGATGGAGGGAGCAAGAGAAGGGACACCAACCAGCGGATCTGAATCTGCCAGTTGTTCTCCTGGCTCTGTTCGAAGTGATTCTGCTACATGTATTCCCATACTTCTTGCAGGGAGGGAGAAACAAGCCCCTTCTACCACTCTACCTTGATGTTTTGGCAAAATAAAGAGTAGCTCTTCTTCACAAAACTTTTAGGGGCTCAAGGCTAGAGATTTAGGGCAGTGGATCTGTCTGATAGGACATCGATGATGGGATTCGTGTTGTTGAGGAATAGGAACTCAGTGGAAATCTGTGAGAGTCAAGAGCCACATCTTAACTTTGGTTTTGTTTTTGGTCTGTTTTGTAAGAATTCCTATCCCACTATGTTCTGTTTTGGTTCTGTAGGTGCAGTGCCAAGATCTAAGAAAGAGAAAACAGCTGGAGTTGCAGATACTTTCTGAACCTATTCAGGCATGGGAAGGGGAGGATATTAAAACCCTGGGAAATGTGATTTTTATGTCACAAGTCATGATGCAGTATGGAACATGTGAGGTAAGGTGTTTCAAATCTCAACACCACTTTTTCCGTCGTTCACATTTTTCTTCATTTGTCTTCTGTCAAGGTCAAAGGCTTGAACATTCAAAGAAACTGAGCACCTATTCTTTGCTTAACACTGCTAGGTTCTGTGGGAGATAGGAGGAAAGAACACACAATGATCTATGCCTTCAAAGAACTCAAGAACAGATTAAAACCCAAGCTGCATGTAGGAAAAAACACACACAAAATAGTCGATGCCAGTTTGTGTAATCTCAACAACAGATTCCATAGAAGTTCAGAGACAGGCGAGAACAAGAAGATTTTATGGAGATAAGTCCTGAGGAGGAGGGCCATGAAGAGAAAAGGGAAGGGTTTTGTAAGGCAGAGCTCATTCTTATTTCAGGAGAGAACAAGAACATGGCCTTTTTTTTTTGGCAGGATGTGAGGAAGCCCATCTGTTAGGAGCCGAGAAAGCATGTTGGGCAGAGTGAGGGAGAAGATTGATGGAGTCAGCTAGAGTCAGGTTATGAAGAACATTCGATGTCAGGCCAAGAGTAGTGCAGATTGATGCAGCTGGCAATAGGAAACTATGAGTCCCGAGCAGTAGAGAAACACAATGAAAGGGGGGTGTTTATGACACTTAATCTGATGACCATATATGTAAGGTAAACTGGAGGGGGTGGGGCTAGAAACAGAAAGGCGAGCTGAGTTGGAAAGTGATAAGTAACCCCGATGAAGGGTAGTGGTGGAGAGAATGAAACTGAAGGGGCAAATCTGAGACATGTTTAGAAGGGAAAGTCTATAGGAAGTGGTGACCTATGGAGATGACAAATATAGTTTTAGACCTGTTAACTTTCAAGTGGCTGTAGGTATCCAGGGGAGATGTCTTGTAGGCAGCTGTGAAAACAGTATAGAAATGTGGGTGGGAAGTCAGAGTTAAAGGCAGAGATTTAGATGTCCCTGACAGATGGGCCTTCCTAGAAAGTAAATATCCAGAGAGAAGCACAGAGGGCTGAAGATGGATTATGTCTTTTGGGAAGGGGGCATGGTAGGGGAGGAAGGTTGGTTATGTCAACCGGTATGATTTATTGGATGTTAGAATTATCTTCCCCCTCCCAAAACGTCTTCCTATACTCCCTGACAGGTCTCTGTCAGAGATTCATTACATTGGGTTGATAAGCAATCTCATTTAAAATATAGGTACCCTGGGGAAGGTTAATGCAGAGAGTTTAACTATTAGACTTTTACACCTTTGCGATAAACCTCTTTGGTGAAGGGAGGAGGAATCGGTGCCAGAAAGAAAAGACAAAGAGGAAGATAAAGGAGAACTGGGGGACTGTGATGTCATGGAAATTCCAGTAGGAGTATTTGGAAGTGGTCAGCCTGCTGAGTGCCGCAGGAAGTTCAGAGGTCAAGGAGCGTGGATACCAATAAGAAGCCATTGGGTTTCGCTAGAAGGCAGTTATTGATGACTTTGAGAGAACAGTGGGGGTGTGTAGGTAGGGATCAATGGGGAGAAAATGAAGGCAGCAAGAAATATGGCAATAAATGTCAAGAAACAGGACATTTTGTATAAGGAGTCAAAGGGGCAAGTGAAGGCCTATAGGGACAGGAGGTGTGCGTATGTTAAAAGCAAAGGAGACAAAGCTAGTTGAGCAGGAGAGGCTGCTGTAATTAGGAGGAGGAGATGAGACATCTGTAGAAGGAAGCTAAGCAAGAGAAAAATGCGAGAGGATGCAGAATGCTTGTTAGAAGAGTTAGCCTCAAAAGGTTGCTCTTCTCAAGTGGAAGGAGGGAGATGGAGATAGGTGTATGGATAATTGTAGCTAAGATGGCTGGACATGTAAGCTGAATGTAATTGTTTACATCTCCTATTGCATATTTGTTTAAGGAATTCAGAGAAGCCCTTGTGTATAAAATTTTCTTTAGTGTCATTTAAAAAAAAAGTATTTACTTCATTTTGCATGGGTACAATAACTATCTTGTTCTTACTGATTAAAAGTGATTTTCTAAATAAGAATTTAACATCTACGTTAGAGCATGATAAATTTTCTATCCTGAAAAACGTTTTATTTGCCACTTTTCAAAGTAAAATCATTTTTGTTTTGTGAACCTAGAAACTTATCTTGTGCTCTGACTGTAGTTTGGGCAGGAAGGCATTAATTGTGACTTCTAGGGCTTACATACTTGGGAAACAAGGCATGGTTATTTGTATTCAATTATTATGTGTAGGAAGGAGAGAGATAAATTGTGGGTTTATATTCATGTCAAAGTAAAATTCAACTAGTTTTATGATTTTAACTTGGGTATTTTCTTTAAAAAAATCACTGTTCATGTTTCATTTCCTTATTTAAGATTTATGTTAAAAACCACTGAATCCAGAAATTCTTAACAAACAAAATGTCCAATTTCTATTCTCCATTTAATATTTTGCATTCCACTTCAGGAAAAAGAAGAGCGGTACTTCATGCTATTTTCCACCGTCTTGGTAATGTTATCTGCCAGTCCTCGGATGAGTGGCTTTATTTATCAGGTTAGTAGATTTCATATAAAAGAAATAGCAGGACCCATAATGAAAAGAGGTTTTCATCCAGATGCAATATTTCCACTATGGATTTAAAAGCTCCAGCCAGAAAAGGCAAAATGTTCTGACACTTCATTGTAACTAAACAGCTTATAAGAACAGATGTTCCTGGGCCGGCCGAGTGGCACCTTGGTTAGGAGTTGGTGTGGGACGCGGCAGCTCTGAGCAACAGGGCCCTGGTTCGGATCCCACATGAGGGCCAGTGATGCTGCGCCCTCTACAGCTAAGATAGTGAACAACAGCTCGACCTGGAGCTGGGCTGCCGTGAGTCGCTGGCGACGGCATAGGCTGCAGTGGGGCTGGCCAGCAGCTGACATGCACTTTTGTGAGCTGCCATGAGCCGCCGTGAGCGGCTGTCCAATGGCTGGCGAGCGACTGCCTCAGCCAGGAAGAGCGCAATGATAATACCAACATGGGCCAGTGAAGCGACGTCCTCCACAACTAGACTGAAGAACAAAAGGACAGCAACTTGTCTGTTCCCCTTCCCCAATTCCCCAACGCTGTTTCCCTCCCCTAATTCCCCAATAAAATCTTTTAAAAAAAAACCAAACAAAACAGATATCCCTTACGTCAGAGACCTTTGCATTACTATAATGAGTATATCTTGAATGTCCACTGCTCTGGTGATGAGCTAGGTTATCAATGTATAAATAGAAATCTAAGTTTGCAACTAGATTAATTAGCAGCAGTGTGTTACAGGCCCCTATTATACATTACTGCTGAGAAAATATAAATCTGGGACCTGCTCTTATGACTGTCTTATTATACTCACACCACATGATTTAGGTTTCTGAGATGCAAATCATTAAACTCCTTAAGAAATTAAACTTCCTTCAGTCTGCTCCCCAAACATGGACTATTATGAGTGACTGTTGCCTCTTATATATTGGCCTAGCAATGACATTTTCATAAAATTTGAGTCTTTGTTTACTGTTTCTCCTGAAAATGTGTTAGAAAAGTAAAGTGTAAATCCCAATTTTATGGCTTAGTGGGCGTTAGAAAAACACAACCCACATTTCCCCCTTACTTTCTTGTCTGAATCAAATTTAAAGCAGGGAAATATTATCTATTCATAGACCAGAGAAATATGTCTAGCTATAATTCAGCAGTGATTCCTGAGAGGGTCAGAAAATCTAACAGAAGTAAGCAGAGACACGTACAACCACAGAATTAATGGGAATGTTCTTTTTCTGGTAGGGAAAAATACCAATAACAGGAATGGTGGTGACTAGATTAGATGAAATTGAAGGGAATGACCACACATTTGAAATCACAGGTAGGTAATTTTCTCTTTTTCATGTAGCTACTTCAAATCCTTTTTGGAAAGAAGTGGGGTTTAAATGAAAAATGCTATTATTTTCTGTTATATAGTCCATGAGCAAGTTTTACATGGTCATGGCAAAGTATATTCCATTTCCTGGGATAATTAGGGTACAGCAATAGAATAGTGAAGTCTCCTGGTCATTCAAAAGCCTCGGCTTTGCCATTAGTTTCAATCTTCTCTTGCATAAGAGCTATTTGTTACAGCTAAGAAATAACAAAATGGACTGATGTAAATGCAATTTTCTCTCTCTTCTGTTACCTATTCCCTTGTGGCAGAGGAGCCAAAGATGTGGAATTTCATCAGCAATTTTATCATCAGTGTATGAATTAGCAAGATTGGGTTATATTTCTAAAAAGTGCTGAAAAGCCATGACACTTTCTTCACAAATTGAGCAAAATGCTAGGCCTCAATAATGCTCCCCGACATTTTGGCCTGTTGTCCTTTTAGCCAAGCCTGTGTGATTTACATGTAATGGTTGTACTTTTTGCACTGATAGGGTGCAGTGGCTAATACTGAGATAATGGCCCCCGGCCTTAGCCCCTTCTTTACCAACAGGGAGCCCAAGATTTGGTGTTGGCTATCACCAGTCTTAATTGGGTCTTGTTTCACCTTCAATACTGGGTAAAGCAGTAGCATATTCTCATTTTAGACTATTATATAGATGGACTCTGTGTTTAAATTTTTGGATTGTGAGTTTCTTTCTAGTGAAGTTTTATACTACTTTTAAGATTCTGTAAACAGTAGAAATCAAGGCCGGTATTATAAATCAGATATGAGTAATTAATTTCTTCACTTTAATATCATCTCTGTTCTTTATCTAGAAGTTTCAAAAGGGTTATCCCATAAGTATAAAAATTCCTGAAAATAGACACCCAAGTCCTAGTTGTGTGGCGTATGTTTATGAATGAGACAAGCTCAAGGTTCTCCTTGCCTTTTGTTTCCAAATGCCCATAATCGGGTAACATGATGCAGGTAACATGATAGAGAGAATTGTGGTCCACTGTAACAACAACCAGGACTTCCAAGAATGGCTGGAGCACCTGTACAGACTGATCAGAGGACCTGCCTCCTGCAGTTCCTTATCCAAGACATCGTCATCATCCTGTAGTGCTCATTCTGTAAGTAGTCTGTTCTGTCCAGGGAGTACTGAGGCTCTCATCAAATCCTGCCTGCTGAGAACTTAGAGGAAGCAGTGAGCATGCTCTTAGCCTTTGAGTAGTCTATATTTGTAGGGTTTGAAGACAGTTACACCTCACTAATTCTGATTTCTTGTCGTGGAGGGAGGCCTGTCTAAATTAATACAAAATTTTACTTAGAGGTATGCAGTTTAGTTTGACCTTAACTTGGAGTACCAACTAACTTCTAGCAAAGTTTTTCTAACCAGAAGCCCTGCTAAGATGTTTTAATGATCAACAAGATTTATTTTAGTTAGCAACTGTTATTCTCATATTAATAATGTGCTAAGTCAAAACAAATAGTTCACCTTCATAAATATGTAAGCATCTCCATGTAATCTCATTTATGCCGTCACATTCACTCAGTAACCTTCAAAGGTAAAGTTCTGGCGTTGCCTTCTTCCAAGGTACCATAAATTTAGCATTCATGGAATTTGAATTAATGGGATTTTATTGTACTTGTTGAGTGAGATGGAAGATATGCTGTGTTGTCTGTTAACACTCAAACCTGTGATACCAAAATTCCAGTTTTGAGCACTGTGTGTTGTGGTGGGAAGAACAAGGCCTTTGGCATCAGATCTGGGTTCAAATCTTGGCTTTGCCAATTGCTAGCTAGTTACTTCACTTTGGTAAGGTTTGTCTTAGGTTGTCCTGATGCAATAACCTATTTGAGCGTCTAGTAGAGTGCCGAACACGTGACTGGATTCTTTAAATGTTGACTGTTATTCCACTTTCCTTCCTTATAGAGGAAAAAACTGATTTTACTGAAATTGCAGAAGGGAGAGGGAGAACACCATCATGGGATATTGAGTCCATTTTATGCTGTTCCTTAGAGACCCCGTAATCTTGGCTGGAAAGCGCCACTTCTCAAGCTGGAGACTTTTGTTATCCCATCTTCCCCTTTCTATGGCTGGCTTTGCTGATCCAATGAAGCTATTGTTCTCTCACTGCGGGGCGCAAGGTCGGGTTCAGATGGCAGATTGCCAACCTCTCATCAGACGTTTTCCCAGTCTTTTAGCTCTACTGGACAGCCCCGAGGACCCTTGGAGCCTCCTCAAATTATAAAACCATGGAGTTTAAGTTGTCTACGACCTGCACCTCCACTTAGACCGTCAGCAGCACTAGGTTATAAAGAGGTAATTTTGTTACATATGGTATAAAATACTTCTGACCAGCTAATTTTGGTAGCTTATTACAAATCTTTCTGTGGGAATGTGCTTAAAATTTAGGATAGGTGATACATTGTTAGTCAATCTTGAATGGCTAGACTCAGTAATTTTTTCTTTATTTTTTTTTAGCTGAGCCATACTGCCACCTGTTGGCAGCTCAGCGGAAGCTCAGCTTGGGCTGGGAATCGAACCAGCGATCCTGTTGCTCAGAGCTCGCACTCTTGAGCGAGCTCTTAAACAACTAAGCCACTCGGCCAGCCCAATTTTTTCATTTCTTAATTTTCCATTTCCCCGTTGTCCATCTACAAATATTTATTAAATAGCCACAGGGTTTATGTGCACTGCCTGAGTTTCCCCGATGTCCTCCTGAAGTGACTCTGTTTTACCTTTTCTTTTTTTGTTTTTGTTTTTTTAATTAGTTTCAGATGTACAAAACAACATAATGATTAGACCTTTACACCCCTCACAAAGCGATAACCCCCCTCCCAGCCTACTACCCTTCAGACATCGTATATAACTGTTGTGGTGATATGATAAGTTGGTGGCGAGGTACACACATCTCAAACAAGAGCCACTTCATTCGAATTGAATTTCCAACCAAACAGACCTGAATCTGCATTTTGGATTATTTTGATCTATTAAATCAAACTAGTAAAGTCTTATGGGAACTAGCCGTGAGTCTGAACTATGAAAGTCTGAACTATTTGCTGCAGTTGGAAAGGGAAAATAATTTAATGAAAGGAATGTCTTTTATAAAGAGTCTTCTAAACTACAGCCTTAGAGGACATTTGATATTTGGGTAGTGTGGGGATTTCAAAGTGTTTTTTTTCTCTCTCTCAAAGTTGCAATCAGGAAATGTCATTCACTAGCTTCCGTATCCATGTGGAGTGTTACCTTTTCCACGCAAATAGTGCTGTTGTTTTTTTTCTCTAACCTGTTGCTCATCGTTCCAGCCTTCAGAAAAGATCCTCATTTATTAGTAACTGTTCTTTAAATAGGTCTTACTGAGTGGAGATTTAAGTTTGTGACAGTTATGAGACACATCTTAGAGTTGTGATGCAAAGGCAACATATTTCTATATCAAACATGTGTTTTCAAAAATGATACAGACTTAGCTGAATTTCGAGTTGGTCTTGATTTAAAACACCATACTACTGTTTCAATTAATTGTTGCCTCAACTTTTAATGTAGTAAAAATTGAGCAATATTTGGACACTGGAGGATTTTTTTTATCCTTTCAACCCAACATGATAGGAGAAATGATCCTTGAGCTGAAACTTTATTATGTACCTCTGTTCAGAATTTGGCCAGGAAACAGTCCCACAGGTTTGCTTTGGAAATTGACCTGTGATACCTGCAATCATCCAATTTTCTTCTTTGATTATCAGAACCACAAGTGCCACTTCATGGTTATTATGTAGGTCCCCTTTTTAATGATGGATATTTTGTAATTGTCAGTTACTAAATTCAAATTAAGGTGAGCTTTAAAGGGTAAAGTTGACTTAATCCTTCACAGAACTAATCCATTAAAACTAAGGCATGATCACTTTGTTTCTGCTGGGAGAAGAGAGTCATTAATAAATTCTTACTATTTAGTGTGTATTTTAGTTATTTTCAGCATTTGTTTTTCTGCACAGAGCTGTATTCCTTGGGCTTTTGCATGATGATATTGCATCTGAAACTAATGTGGGAATCGTGATGATATTCTCTCCGTGTAATTTATGATAACACTAACATTTCAAATGTTGTTTTAGAATTATTGATAAATGGATTTGGTCATTGTAACCATCGACCTCTCACGCTCATCTTCTCTTTCTTTACATATTCACTTTAGAGGATGTCTTATATCTTAAAGGTAAGGGTAGAACACTATCTTTGGCTTACAGTGACATCATAATGCTGTGCTGTAACCTTTGATGAATGAAGCTTTCTTTTATGCTTGTTTTGTCCCTTGTTATTATTGGTGGCTAAAATATGAAGATGCAATTCTGACATGTAAGTACTTCCTTCAAAAAGCAGGCTCTTGTGAAATACGTGTGATTATGTGATCTTATAATGCCTTAAAATGCCCGTTTTCCTGATTTTTAATGCTACATTTGCTGTAATTTTTGTCACGTGAGCTTTTCATGTCTGTTTATTCATTTGGCAAAAGCAAATTCAATAATTGATATAATTCACACCTCTTTTATCTACTAATTAAAAATATGGCTTTATATACAGAGGGTGCCAAAAAAAGTATACACATTTTAAGAAAGGGAAAAACTATATTAAAATTGTAATAGAATGAATGACGCTAGCATTCATTTGGTTAACGCCATCTTTTGAGTGAATGTCATACTACGCATGGCTACCGTAATTCAATTCAACTTCAAAAAGTAATACATAGATAATGTCTCTTAAAATGTGGACATCTTTTTGGCAACCCCAGTATGTATATTAAGCTTGGCTGTAGAAACATTACTCCTAACCTCAAATTATTATCAGGAAGTCTTTCATTTGGCTCTTCTCTGACTGAGGGGAAATTAGCCTCTCTGCCTTAATTTTCCTGACTGACAAATGGAAATTCATATTCTTCGTCGTGGAACTGTTGCTAAGGAAAATTCATTTAAGTAGTTTTCAAGCTCTTTGAAAAACAGTGTTTACCACAGTAGTAGTTACAATTGTTATGTGATTCCCTTAAAACTGTATCAGTGGGGAATATAAACCAAGTTAGGAATACTGTTATTGCTCTAGGATTGACATCCATTACTTTCTCTGCAGATGATATTCGTAAGGCATTAAGCCTTCTGGAGAATCTGCCGCATCTTCAGTAGGCCCACTCCATTCTTATTCCCATCCCTATGGCAATTGAGAGGCTAATGTCATTGCCTCTATTTTATTTAACGTTTTAAAGTTTATTGGAGCCCTTTGTATTGTGTATACTATTAAATTGCGATGCACTCCTAACTGAGACTGTCAAAGTTAAGAGAGAGCCATACTATTTAATTTCACTTGCGCTTTTGAATTTGATTTTGTGGGAGAATTTTAATTCATAAAGAAACCTCCATTCTTACAGGAGTCCAGTAAAAGCCCCAAAACGATGAAGAAGTTTCTTCATAAAAGAAAGACTGAAAGAAAGCCATCAGAGGAGGAATATGTGATTCGGAAAAGTATGTGTTTTGTACTTTCTGAGGGTTGGTAATGGATGAAATAACAGAAGAATTTTATAAAAGCAGATGATCAGAGCGATTTGTTCCTGGCATCATGTGTTACTTAAAGAAAAATACATAGAAAGGTTTGGTCACCTCAAAGGTTTTTGAGTAAGCTGCTTCCTGCTGTACTTCATGTCACCTTAGGCAGACACCATCTGTATGATTTTCATGTTGAATATTTTGACCCACCTGCTTAGAACCACTAAAGGGACCATTTGCTATGGGTACATTTTCCCCTCTTAGTTTCTGATGCCTGAGATATTTTCCTCTACTGAGATAGACTAAATAGATGTGAAGGCTGAAATCCTCCTGGAAGTCTAAAGCTCTATGATGTTCTCAGTTAGCCAAGGAATCAGCCTGCTGACATGTAGATTTAGAGGCGGACTGTAAAGTTGGTCAGCAAATCGATATATACTTATTTGCTTCCACGCTGGAAACACGGTACCTTGGGACACACGTGGAGAGGTAAGTGATGTCTCACAAAGAGGTGACAGAACTATGTTTATTAGCCAAAAATATAGTCTAGATAAATCTTTGCTTGACTCTAGCTTCTGCATCTCCCATCCCCACACTTGGGTGTGCACATCAGCCTGTTAACAGGGTTCTGCCATCCAGTTATTTCAAGAATGAGTTGGAGGGCCGGCCGAGTGGTGCGTTGGTTAAGAGCTGACTTGGGATGCCAGAGGATCCCGGTTCGGTTCGGATCCCACATATGAGGGCCAGTGACACTGCCCTCAACAGCTAAGATGCTGGACAACAGCTCGACCTGGAGCTGGGCTGCCGTGAGTCGCCAGCGACGGCGTAGGCTGCAGCCCCTGTGGCAGTGGGTTGCCATGGGCTACCGTGTGTAGCCAGCAGCCAGCGTGAGCAGCTAGCAGCCACTGTGAGTGGCCATCCAGAAGCCGGCGACTGATCTGCCTCGCTCGGGAAGAACGCAATGGTGCCAACTTGGGCCAGTGAAGCGACGTCCTTCACAACTAGACTGAAGACCAAAAGGACAGCAACTTGTCTGTTTCCCTTCCCCCAATTCCCCAGCGCTGTTCCCATCCCCCAATTCCCCAATAAAAATCTATAAAAAAGAAAGAGTTGGAGGAGATGGAAGGAGGAGGAAGAATCAGTGACTATGCTGGCTGGTTGGAAAAATGGGTGGGATTAATGGGGAAAGCTTCCTAGAGAAGGTGAACCTTGAAATTTGAAGGAAAGGAAAGGTGCAGTGTACTGGATGAGAACGAGGCTAGCACCAAGTCCAGTGCTGTAATTGTGGCCTTGAAGAGAAGACGGGCAGGCCTCTCCAGCTGAGAGCTCTGGGTGGGCTTCGGGAGCAGGGCGCCCTCAGTGCTGAATTCACTGATTCTGACCCCAGCACTCTCACTCCATTATGAGGGTTGGACAGCATTTCCTCCTGCCTTTCAGAAATACCACTGACCAGAGAAGCCAGTCCCCAGTGCACTGGGGAGTGCACCGCATCATTTTGAGGGTCCAGAGGCATATATATGAAAAGTCATTATTAATTAAATTTGACAGGTACAGCTGCTCTGGAAGAGGACGCTCAGATCCTTAAAGTGATTGAAGCCTACTGTACCAGTGCAAACTTTCAACAAGGCCATGGCTCAAGTACGTTCCCCCATACCACTTTCTCTAATGACTAATGTTTCTTTTTTTTGCTGCTTACTGCCTTTTAGAAGCAAAGAAAAGCAACCCAGATGGGTTGCAGGGTGTGGAAAGCAGGTGATTTGGTGCAGAGGAGCGGTGCAGGACTGCATCTTTCAGATAAGGTGGTTTTAGCTACCAAGCGGTTTGTTTACCCAGTTTCTTTTCACCCAGAGAAAGAGAGATGCAAGAGTAAAAAAGTTGGAGGTGATAGAAATGAAATTTTTTTTTAAAAGTCATTCTCCTTTGAAGTACTCAGATACCTTCACCAACACTAGTTAGGAATTAAAGAGCCCAGAGTTCCTGTGTCTGTGAACTGATGCTAATCTCTTCTTATAGGCAGATTTGGAAAGGAAGTCAAAATACTATCTTTGATCAGCTGCATATTTAAGCGAACAGTGCTTCACCAAACTCAAGTTTCAAAGTTGCTATGAAAATCTGGAAATGTAGCTGCTTAGCAGGGGCTGTTCGGAATGTATACAATTTATCAGGGAGCTATTAGGTGAGGGTATTTCCCCGAACAACGTTCAGGCTACAAACTAAAAGCGAGATAATGTTTTCTGATTCATCCTTGTGCTTTTTAAAAAGCCAGGTCACATCAGTTATGTCTCTTGTCTTCCATTATTATAGACGCTCAGGATATGTTGTATGGGGTTTTGGCATGTGGGTAAAAGAGTTATCCATCATGCTCCATTTTGGACAGCCACTGACCCATCACTTGAGTGTGAGAGGGGATTACTTAGGTAGACTGCCTTGTCATATGCTTTCAAAGTGACACGTCCCTAAGGCTATCATGAAAAAAATGTTCAATGCGAAAGTTGACACATTTGACCATAAAGATGGGACTGTCACAACTTCTGCTTCACAGACAAAACCTGGCTGTGGCTTTGGGCATGCCCAGCTTTCATAACAAATTTTGAGGAGCCAGGAAAGGAAAGTGAGAGTGGTTTTTATCGTGAAAACTAGGAACGAGATGGGGGCAAGGAGACACCAGAAGCATCCCTCATACAAAATCTGACCTCATCTCCTCCCTCCACCACCTCTCTTCATATCAATAGAGTTGGTAGATCTGCTCAGAGATGCAGGCAGGTGTTATAACCTAAAGTCACATTTTCTCCTTTCTTCCCCAGCCTAAGTTTTACATGTGGAAAGTGTCTAGTGCAGTTTGTGGCATGCGGCAAGACTTTTAGCATCATAATGACCTACCCTCTCTCCAGAAGTCTGGTTTCCCCAGAAATGACTGCTATCGTTTCTTGCTGTATTCAGTTGATTGATCAGTCAGTCAGTCTGCTATCCACTTATTAAGCACCTATGAAGTGCTAGGCCCAATGGGAGGCAGAGACACAGCCACCTCAGGAAAGGCGAGGTGATGAAGGGAAGGCAGTGAGTGTTAAAACTCGAAGGAACCTGGCTCAGAAGCGAGGAAACCAGTGGCTCAGGGAAACTGAAGATGAAGGGCTCAAGCTCCAGAAGGAAGGATCCAGGGGTAGCTTGGAGGAGCAGGAGAGCGGTCTGGTCAGGTCCCATGTCTGTTCTGTCACGTCTTCCATCCCAAATCCTGGAGACAGTCTGAGCAGAGAGAAGTCCTGCATCGTTGCTGCTGAAGTGATAATCTCCCAACCCTGATCAACCCTTGATCAAAATGCTCTTACCCGAAGCTACCTTACCCTGTAAGACTCTAAAGAGAACAAATGGGAGTGAGTGATACTTCTGAGGCCCTTTAAGCTCATTGTGTTCCAGTGCATTGCTACTCTGAATTTACTAAAATGATATAACACCATAGCATAGGATGTGGTGTGCCATTCCCTGGAGACGTGCAGAGACCGTATGATCACTAGACAAATCTTTGCTGTGGAGGAGAGAAAACAGGAAAAGATGTAGTCTTGGTTGAGGACAGGCATCATAGGGACCCTTTCACATTATTTTTCTGAGTACAAAGTACTCCCTTCCCCGAGATTGAATCAATATATTTGGTTATTTAGTATTTCCTCATCTCAGGAAGATTTAGTCATTAAATGTTGGGTGACTGTTCTCTGGGTGCAAGGTTGCAACATGCTATCAACAAAGACCCTTCCATAACAATAGAAGAAAGGACCTAACACCTATAAAGAGTCCTCACTAGTAGCTCTTCCCTTTCCTCCCTCTTGCAACCTTTGCATGTAGGTGCTCGCAAAGATTCGGTTCCACAAGTCTTACTCCCTGAGGAAGAGAAACTCATCATCGAAGAAACCAGAAGCAACGGCCAGACCATCATCGAAGAAAAGTGAGTAGAGTGAGCTAAACCCTTTCTGAGTTGTCTGAGGGGCTGCAAAGAAGGTTCTGTCAGGGCAATGTGGCTCTTGCAAAGCCTGCACTACCCCATCTAGTCTGGGAATGTGGCCCTTTTTGCTGATCATGCAATTGGGAACCTCTGGAGGGCTGCCCGAGCCACCACCCCCAGCAACGGAAAGGGGGAAGGACAGGCACAGGGGGCAGAACTCCGCGCGGTGGCTGCCCCTGGAGCTGACTCTCCCATGTAGTAAGGTGCTTCAGGGGACATAAGATCACCCTACATGGGTTGAGGTGGCACCTGGGAATGCCATGGCACCAATTTCCCTGCCCAAGAGGTATGCTTCTCACATTTATTGAGTCAGGCGCTGGACTTTCACCTATTTGACCTAATTTAAAATTTTACAGCAATCCAGTGAGATAAGCATTGCTTTCACAACTTTTACAGATGAGGAAACTGAGGTTCAGGGAAATAGGTCTCTGGCATACCTTTTCACAGTAGTCAGGTTGACCTAATGGGGTAAAATCAGGTTAAATACCTTATGGCTCATAAAATAAACACAAAGTAGCCAAATAATTCATTTGTTTAAACTTGAGTCATTTCTGAAGTCAGGCCTAAATTTGCATCAGACAGCATATTTCAAAGTGCTTGGCATCATCAGTGTACAGTACTTTTCCATCTGGTGTATGAAGTGATATGGCCAAATGATAAAGCATTTGGGCTTATGAGAAGAACGGCCCTGGTTCAACTCCAGATTCTGCTACCTGTTGGCTGTGTGACCTGGGGCAAATTCCTTCATCTCTCTGTGCCTCACTTTCCTCATCCTTAAAATGAGTATGATACTCATACTTTCAGGGCTGTTGTGAGCTTAAATGGGATAAGAAGTGTAAAGGCTGGCATGAGGTCATCACTCAATAAGTGATTATATTATATATAATTATAATATAAATGATTATATATTCGATTATAATTATTTTATTTAATTATTTTTAGGTTTCAATTACAGTTGACGTACAATGTTATATTAGTTTCAGGATTACAGCATAGTGGTTAGACATTTATATAACTTAAGAAGTGACACCCCCCCAATAGGTATGGTACCCACCTGACACCATACATAGCTATTATAATGTTATTGACTATATTCCCTATGCTGTAATTTTTATCCCCATGACTATTTTCTAACTGCCAATTGGTACGTCTTAATCCCTTCACCTTTTTCATCCAACCCCCAAAACCTGTCCCACCTGGCAGCCATGAATTTGTTCTCTGTATCTGTGAGTCTGTTTTTGTTTTGTTTGTTCATTTATTTTGTTTATTAGACTCCACATATAAGTGAGATCATATGGTATTTGTTTTTCTCTGTCTGACTTATTTCATTAAGCATAATACCCTCTAGGTCCATCCATGTTGTTGCAAATGGCAAGATTTCATTCTTTTTTATGGCCAAGTAATATTTCATTGTATATATGTACCGCTTCTTCTTTATCCAGTTGTCTATTCATGAATACTTAGATTGCTTCCATATCTTGGCTATTGTAAATAATGCTGCAATGAGTATAGGCATGCATATATTTTTTGAATTAGTGATTTGGATCTTTTTGGATAAATACCCAGAAGTGGGATTGCTGAGTCTTAAGGTAGTTCTATTTTTAAATTTTGAGGAACCTCCATACTGTTCCAACAGTGGCTGCACCAATTTGCAACCCTACCAACAGTGCATGAGGGTTCCCTTTTCTCCACATCTTGTTGTTTGTTGATTTATTGATGATGGCTATTCTGACAGGTGTGGGTGATACCTCTTTGTGTTTTTTTTTAAAAGATTTTATTGGAGAATGGGGGAAGGGGAACAGTGTTGGGGAATTGGGTAAGGGGAACAGCCAAGTTGTTGTCCTTCAGTCTTAGTTGCGGAGGGTGCAGCTATCTCAGCTCCAAGTCTAGTCACTATCTGGCCACCCATTGGCAGCTTGCACCGCTCAGCTCAAAGTGCCATGTTCAATCTTACTTGCGGTGGGCACAGCCACCATCCCATGTGGGAGTCGAACTGCAAAACTTGTTGCTAATAATGCACGTTCTAACCTCGGAGCCATCTGGCCACCTGTCTGCAGCTCAGGGCAGCTCAGCTCAAGGTGCTGTGTTCAATCTTAGTTGTGGGTGGGCATAGCTCATCATCCCATGTGGGAGTCAAACTGGCAACCTTGTTGTTAGGAACATGTGCTTTCCCCAGCTGAGCCATCCTACCACCTGTTGGCCGTTCAGTGGCAGCTCAGCTCGGGCACAGCTTACTGGCTCATGTGGGAATCGAACCGGCAACCCTGTTGCTAAGAGCTCACGCTCTAACCAACTGAGCCACTCAGCCTGCCCTCTTCGTGTTTTAATTTGCATTTCTCCGATTAGTGATGTTGAGCATCTTTTCATATGGCTATTGGCCATCTGTATGTCCTCTTTGGAAAAATGTCCTCTGCCCATTTTTTAATTGGGTTGTTTGTCTTTTGGTGTTAAGTTGTGTGAGTTCTTTATCTATTGTGGATAGTAACCCCTTATCGGATGTATCATTGGCAAATATCTTTTCCCATTCAGTAGGTTGTCTTTTCATTGTGTTCATGGCTTCCTTTGCTGTATAAACACTTCAGTTTGATGTAGTCCCATTTGTATATTTTTCCTTTTGTCAAGAGAAGATAATAAGGAAACTGGTTACCCAAGGTTAGAGGTCTGGCGAGTGGTAGGCAGACCTGAAACCCAGGTCTCCAAAGCTCTTGTCCAGGGAGAGAGCCTGAGAGGAAGATTGCACCACACCTCAGCCAGGGCGCTTTATACTTTTCTGGAATGTATGGAATCTTCCAGGAATAATGCCCCTAATTTTGTGTCATGTAGGGTCAGATAGGTGAGTAGGGCAATTCCATAGCACAGATATTGTAAGCTAAGCAGGGCCCTGTGACACCTCTCGTTATATGTTAGGTGATGTTCATTCCTGCCCCAAAGAGAGAAATCAACATCTGATGATAAGAGCTAGTCTCTTTTTTTTGTGCTCCCCCAAGCTGAGAAGCAAGTGGCAAAAGAGGAACCAAATATGGAAAAGGTGCCATGACCTGGCCTTTCACAAGCACGTGGAGTGGTGGTGGTTAGCCCATAGCGATGAGGCTACAGAAGGACAATTCATAACAGTATCTCTTCTGATCAGCTAGAAAATCCATTGCTTTTCAGGACCCGTATTTCTATAAAGCTGCTTTTCTCGTTCAGTATTACTCAACAATACTTCAGAGCCAGCTATTAATCTCTGCACTTTATATTCTAGGAGCCTTGTCGACACTGTTTATGCCTTGAAGGATGAGGTCAAAGAACTGAAACAGGTAATGAAATGTAAAAGTCTTTTTTTCACATCATGACAGGACCACTTCCTCTTCCTTGTCGCACGCTGGTAGATGCTTTTAGGAAAGGTCCAGGAACAAGGCATTGAGGTGGGGATTTTTACTTTGTGTCATCGAGGTGGGTTTTGTTGATTTTATCAGGTGGCCTTGCATGAAAACTTCTGAGGCTTGTTTATATACCTATTTAGCGGTTCACAATAGGATCTCAAACTTAGTTATGACTTTCATGTTCCCCGACATTTGTAAACAGGATTTAAGAAAAGATAAGTCATTCGTGAGTATGTCAGTGTAACTAGAATCAGAAATCATGATTTGTGGGCTTCTCTGTAGATGTGGTCCAGTGCTCCATGACACATCCTCTTGCTTGTGTTTGAGGAATGTACCTGGTGACAGGGTAATGGATGGATTGGAGGGGAGAGATACCACAGACTGCAAGGCCACTTAGGAGGTTCTTACAAAGCTCAGGGTAAGACATAATAAAGTCCTGACCTGAGGCAGTGTTACTGAGACTGCAGAGGAGGAATGGAAAGGAAGGCACACCACAGACTCAGAGCCTGTGGAAAATTATGGTGTGATGTTGGGATTAAGAAAGAGCCAGTGGACATAGGCTGCAGCCCCTGTGGCAGTGGGTTGCCATGGGCTACTGTGTGTAGCCAGCAGCCAGCGTGAGCGGCCAGCAGCCGCGGTGAGCAGCCCTCCAGAAGCCGGTGACTGATCTGCTTTGCCCAGGAAGAGCGCAATGATGGTGCCAACTTGGGCCAGTGGGGCGACGTCCTCCACAACTAGGCTGAAGAACAAAACGACAGCAGCTTGTCTGTTCTTCCCCCAATTCCCCAGTGCTGTTCCCATCCCCCCAATTCCCCAATAAAAATCTTTAAAAAAAAAAGAAAGAGCCAGTGGATTGAAGATGAAGCTTCTTACCTGGGTATCTAGTTTGATATGGTTGTGCCCTTCATGGAGATCAAAAACCACAGGAGGAAGAGAAGTTTGGGTGACATAGATACTGAGCTCACCTAATGAGTTTGAGGTGCTTGTAACACATCTAAGTGGAAATACCACGTTGGCATTGAGGACTGGAGACCTAGTCCTCATGAAATAAGATGAGGTCAGTACCAGAGGGAATTGGGAGGCCCCTTAATAGATACTTGAAATGAAAGAGAGCAGACACTAAGTGAAAAGAGTATTGAATTAGCAGAAAGCCAGGGCCAGAGCATTAGAGAATGCTTGTATTTCAAGGAAGAAGAATGCACCAAGTTGGGCAGAGAGAGGTAGGAGAATCAAGAGGCTGCCTTGTCTTAGAAGCTTTGAGAGAGGCATTTGAGGAGGGAAAGTATAGTCAATGGTGAAAGGCACCAAAAGGATAAGCAGCAGGAACCCTGAGAAGTGGTCCCTTTGTTTGCTAATCAACAAGTCTTTTCCTATCATAGGAGAATAAAAGAATGAAGCAATGCCTGGAAGAAGAATTGAAATCAAGAAGGGACCTAGAAAAGCTGGTCCGGAGGCTGTTGAAGCAAACCGATGAATGTATTCGGGCTGAATCCAGTAGCAAGACCTCAATTCTTCCATAACCATCATCGTGCAGCTGGGCAGAGTGTGTCTTCAGCACATCTTGAAATGTCCAGCTGAATGCTTTGGCTCAGTTTGCTCGCTTCTTTGGTTTTCATTTTGTATTTGAGTCAGCCTCCTTCCCCTCTGTTTGCTTGAGTGTTTGTTGTTGTCTGCTTATTGGTTGGCTGGTTATGTTGTTTTTCAACAGGGTAAGAACAAGAGGTGGTGGTAGAAGCCTTCCCAGCGTCTTTCCATTCAATACCAAGAGGAAAGCTAATGTAGGCAAATGACTTAAGTGGCCTTCAGATGGCCTTCCATTCATTGTGCCTGTTTAACAACCATCACCCTTTTAGGCCTGGCTACTATCCCAAAGCAGCTGGCCTTGGCTTATTAAAGGTGAACTTGACTTTTTCCCCAATGCTTTCCTGTACCTGGAAGCCTCTCAGTACCTAATTTACTGAAGGCAAAGCTTTTTGAGCTTTAACTAGAGTATGGTGAAAGATGAAAACATTTGCCCAATGATCCAGCTGCCCGTCCCTGGTCCATTATATGCCACTCCTCAATGCATACTTTATTATTATTATTATTATATTATTATTATTATTGCCCTGTGTTGTCTGTAAGACTAAGAAGACAATAGTGCCCTCATTCCTTTTTTGTTGGTTTACATTTTAACTCTGTGGGTCAGAAGCTCTGATGATCCATGCCAACACCAGATCCATTAGCACGTTGCACTGGACAATCCTCCTTTCAGCAGCAGAGTTGACCTTCTCTTCCCTAGTACGTGATAAGTTTTCCCCCAAGTCTTCTGCCTCGTGTGTAAGTTTTATATTTCCCCAGTGCTTTTAGCCAACCATACCAAGTGGTGTGTAAACTAGTATATGTGTGCTTTGCTTACTTTTAAAAAATATAGACTGTGAGCAATTACTTTATTTACATTGCATATTCAAATGATGACTTCTCATCTTTAAAACAGTCTGCCATTGAGGGGATCTTGTGCCCTAGTAGACAGCTTTAACTTGCTGTATTGCTCTCCCATATATGCTGTGAGAAGCCTGTAATATTCATCAGTCTTTTGGAGTAGGACTGTAATCATTATTTGCAGAAAAGTGCTGTTGGTTCAGTTTGTATATCTGGAAAGAAAGGGCCATTCTAGAAGCTGTGCGCTGATTACTAGTAAAACTGATTATTTGGAACTGGTTTATACAAGTTGCTCATCAAATCAAACTGTTGCATGTATAATAATCTCACAAATTAGAACTGTGATCAACCAGCTTTAGAAGATGGTCACACATCCAAATTCCACACAATCAAAAGTCAGCCCGAGGCTCTCTCTCCCAAAGAGGTGAAATTTGGCTGGGTGGGGAAGATGAACTAAAAGCGAGGCAAAGGGCCAATGGACTGATCAAAGTTGTCTTCCAGATACACTTAATGGGTGCCTATAAATGTGGGTTTTGTAAATGATGTTTAGAAACCAAACTTGAAGCTTGAAACTCTCAGATTACTAAGTCCTTTTTCTTTCTAGTCCTGGGGTCTCAAGTTCCCATAACTACATGGTACAGGGCTGTTGACTGCTTGCTGCACAGCAGAAATTATACCATCCACAGGAAATGGACTATTCCTGCTGTACAACATCAGCCAACCACACATAGCTGTCTTTGGAAGCTGAAGACTGAAGATTTCTAGGAATTGGCTGTTGTTCCATTTTTAAGCACAGCAGTTTAGATATACCATCTTTCACCTAAAAATTAAAACAACGCAGATCTTAGCATCTACTCTCTCTGTGGTTAGTCAATGGCTTGCAATAAATGTGCAAACTATATCCATAAGAAAATGTTTGTGATTACAAAATATTTTAGTTGATAAGGTATAGTTTAAAATATTGAAAGGCCTTTATTTTAAAGTGACATGTACATATGCATGTTTTGGAGACTTAGCTCTTCTGATGAGAGGCCCTCGGTACTCTGGGTAACGAAGCTTGTGCAGAGTGGTGTCCGCACTCACACACTAAACAATAATATAAAGGAAATGAAGCCATGTTAACCTGAAAGCAGTGTCTCCATAGTTGTGTTGTTTACAATACTCTATACATGGGTTCCTGTTACCCTTATAATTAAACTGTTGCCCTTAGAGGCCTTTTAGTTCCTCTTCTGTCATGTCCTTCTTATACAAGCTCAAATTTTCTAACTTGTTTTTATTTTGAAGACTTTTAAAATTGACATTTTCAATAAATAAGAATAACAATGCTTTATAAAATAAGTCCTGTGTTTCTTTTCTTTTCTTTTTTCTTGCTAGCTGCAGAGAGATTTCTCATGCTGTGTCAGTTTCCTTTCCCATTTCCCTCATTACTCTCTACTCTCATCAGGGCCCCTAACCACCTTCGACCTCTTTCACTCAGGGCAGATGATATTTGCTCCCTACTTTACACAAATAATACATATCATGAGACAGAACCTTCCTTAACTGCTCCATCCCTCTCCTTCTAGCCACAACCTATAAACTGTCTGTACTTCTTCTCACCATTTTCCTTCCAATATCAGAGAGAAGGAGATATCCATTTCCTGTTTAAGCTTATCCCTTGATTGTTAGTCTTGTCCCCATCCCTCTTTATAATTTGCAAGATTTTGTCAGTCAGTGATATCCTATATCTGGACCACAATTCTAATATTGGTAATATAATATTAGAGAATATATTTGTTCCTCCTCAAGACAGATGCTCTGGATATTATCTGTTGCTACTCAGCATCCATCTCTACCCTTTTTTATGTTTCCTTCCGGAAGACTAAAAAAATACACATCCCAGACTCCCTTGCAGCTAGGGTTCTGGATACAGTGTGGGTTCTGATACATTTTCAGTTCTGGCAATGAGATGCCTTTGCACAATATTTGGAAGGCTTAAGTTAGGCAGAAGATAACTTCCTGGGGCTTGGTGGGTGGCAGGCAGTTCCAAGGAAATGTTTGTGGCTTTTGTTCTCTACATTCTAGTGTGTGCACTCAAAGCTTTGTAGGTGAGAAACTGTAGTGGTAGCAGTGCTGATGGTAGCAGCAGCTTCCTAAACTAGCTTTGGATCACAGCTGCAGTGATAGGATCTTGAAGTCCAATGGCAGGCCCCTGACCTCCACTTCTGTAGCCAATGATTTTGTAGCACCTCATATTACTTTCCTGCTTGAGATATCTTCAGTGGTTTATGTTTCCTACTTTGAAGCAATAGATATAACTTTGTACCTCCTGTGTATTAAACCCCATACTAAGTGTTTTACAAATAAACACTTGTTTTACACGCTCATGTAATTGTAACAACCCTATGAGGTATTCATTATTGTTATCCCCATCTTATACAGAGGCACAGATGTTGAACAGTGTGAGATTTGAAACCCTCATCTGCCTGGTGCTTGGATCAACGCTCTTTCTACCACATTTCCTCCTCTGCAAATTGACAAATCCAGGGAAAACTTTTCAATACCTATCTTGACTTCTCTTCAGTATTTGACCTTTACGTCCTTGATAAATCTATCTTCCTTGGCTTCCATGATCTTAACTTTCCTGGCATTCATTCAACCTTTCTGATCACCCTCCAATCTCCTTTGCTGGATCTGCCTTCTTTGCCTGTCCCCTGAACATTGCTGATCCTCAACGCTCCTTTCTTCTTCTCTTCCTTTTCAAGCCTCTTCTTGGAAAACACTGTGTACTCCAATAACTTCATTTATCAAAATGCAGATGACTTCCTTGTCTATATATTTTTCCACCCTGAACATTCTCCTGCCCTCCAGGCTATTGTATGTAGCTACCTTCTGGACACCTCAGCGTGGATGTACAACAAACAACACCTCAAACTCAACATGTCTAAAATTGAGCTCCTTGTTCCTCTTCCCGAATCTGCTTCCCCAATGTTTCCCATTCCAGTGAATAACACCCCAGCCACTGAGTTGCCCCAGCCAGCAAAACAGGCATTATTCTCATTCTGTCCCCCTTCTCAACCCTGTATACATTTATACATTAACCCTTTATAAGTCTAGTCATCAAGTCTTACCATATTTAACTCTGTTGTAGCCCTTGAATTCCTCTCCATCCTCATGACCATTGTCTATTTTTAGCACTTGTCTCCTGTCCTTTGGACCAAAGCATCTCCTTGCCTCTTGTATTACCTTCTCTATTCTGGCCTCTTTGGTGCCAGTAGAATGATTACCTAAAAGATCTGATTATATCATTCATAGGTTTAAAAATTTAATCTCTTACTACTACCCTCCATGCTCAATATAATTTCATCTCCTTGAAATTCTCTTAGTACGCTAATACTATAGTACCTTAAAAGGAGGGATTGAGTCCTTTCATCCATGTAGATTCGGTGCCTGATACAGGATTGAGCCCATAGTCCCTTCTCAATAAATATTTATTGAATGAACAGAAGTTCCAAATAATTTCAGGCCTCCATTATTTGTATGGGAAAATTGTGAAAATCTGCCTTGGTGCCAACAGCAGAATTCAACTGGGGTTCTAAGGCTTCTGCAGCCTGAAAGCCTACAGGGTCCAATCTGTGACCCAGCCTCCTTGCCACCTTTCTCAAGACTCGCACTGCAGGCCACCTAAGCCACTCTGTAGCACAGGATGCTGTGGTGCAAGCCCCTCTGGGCAAGCAGGCCAAGGGGCAGCTTATCTCTGCCATACGAACACAAAGCCTCTTCCTAGATTGGGCTTCAGCATGTTTGGCCTATACACCAAGAAGGCCCTCTGTAAGCTGGCTCCTCCTGCCTACTTCCTTATGCTCTTTTTTTCCCCTCCTCTTCGCACCTATCCCCATCCCACCCCCCACCTCCGAGCCGTTCCTTGTTCTCAGTGTAGTTGTGGAGGCCGCCACTTCACTGGCCCATGTTGGTATTGTGATCATTGCGCTCTTCCTAGGTGAGGCAGTCGGTCGCTGGCCATGGGATAGCTGCTCACGGCAGCTCACTTGTCCACCGGCCACTCACAGCAGTCTAGCTCCAGGTTGAGCTGTTGTTCACCATCTTAGCTGTAGAGGGCGCAGCTCACTGGCCCATGTGGGATCCGAACCGGCGGCCTTGCTGCTCAGAGCTCGCGCTCTTCCCAACTGAGCTAACTGGCCGCCCTCCCCTACACTCTGTATCCATTTTCACACCTCTATGCTTTCACATGTTCTGCGCTCTCCCTCTGGGACTCCTTTCATCCCTATGGCCCTTCCTTCCTCAGCATCCTTCAAGACTCAGGCTGTGTCACCTCTCCTGGAAAGCCTTTCCTAAAACCTACCTTTCCTTGCTTGTCCTAGTTACTTGGCCTTCCTGTGTGTTCTCTGTAACAGCGGTGCTTACTCCTGCTGCAGCATTGACATTTGAGCTTTAAACGTTTGCACACCTGTTACATAAAAGACTGTAAGCTACTTGAGGGCAGGGAATGGATCATATTCATTTCATGCCTAGCACTGAGCCTATAACTGCAGTGTTGGATGGATGGGTGGATAAATTTTTAAACATCTTTTAAATCCTAGTAACAGGAAATTTGAATGAAATCTAAGATGTGTTAAAGGTTGCCTTTGGACTCCAAAGAGGTTTATAGTCAGTGAGGTACCCAAGATAGGAGTAGAGTTTAGGACCAGACATCATTGGACTTTAAGTAGGGTTACATTAGCAGGGAAAATGTGAACTATAACTCAGTGGAACTCCAGGAATGCAGAATGAAAAACAACTATATATTTAGTTTTCTTGAGAGTTGCTGAATTGCCTATTTGCATTGCTAAGAGGGGTATGGTATGGAAAGGATAGCTTTGTGTGCTCATGTCCTTCAGATTGGGAATCAATGAGAATAGATTTTTAAAAAGAAACCTTTCCTAAATATCTTAACTATAGAACTGCTCAAACCTATTGTAAAATTTGGCAACCCCAAGCCTCCAATGGTTAATTGTTTTTGACAATGAAACTAAAGAAAGAATTTTTGTTACCCACAGATCCTCTCTTATGTTAGGTAAGGTATGTGTTTTAACTTTGCCTTCTTTTTTTTTTTTTTGCTTTCACTTTGCTTCACATTGGGTGTGGCCTTTAGTCTACTACATAGGCAAGACTTTTATCTGTACCTGGGCTGCCAGGCACTCTCCTTGGTTGTAGTGGTTTCAACCATTTAAGATGCCATCCTGTCTATTTGCACCACTGAGTGCAGACTGGTGTGCTGGGGCCACACGGAGACCCACCTTTGTGCTCTTTATATTGAGATCTGCTCCAGAGAGCAAACTGTGCTGGGGACTTTCTGTGAATGATCTCATCAAGTCCTCAGAAACCTTGCAAAGCAGATATTCTTATCATCCCCACTTTACAGATGAGGACACTGAGGCTCAGAGGGGGTGAAAAGACTTGCCTATG